CTTTATCTATTTACAGCACTGGTCAGCAGTAGCATGTCACAACTCGGGCTCTGGCTACACCCCACCATATGTTGGAAAAGCTGAATTCAACTTTTCAGCAGGAACAATATGGCTAAAGAAGAGAGGGAGGAACTTAGCGATGAATAGAAAGATGACAGGAAGACAATACTGACAGAAACTACCACCTGAAACCTACCTGCTTTCACAGAACTTTTTATTTCCATTTTCAGGACGTCCATACTTTTAACAGTGGTACGTAAACATTCAGGTAGGCCACCAATTTTAACACTTACATTGTACAGTATCAGATGAACCTAATCTTAAGGCTCAAAATTCTGTCTTTCAGCAAGTCTCAGGTCTCAGTGTTTTGCAGAATTACAAGCCAGATTCCTTATATACTGACTTATGTGATGGTTTTGACTGGGGCAGAGGCACATTTCTTGACAGTATGGAGCTGTGTTTTGGATTTGTGCTGGAAACTGTTGATAACACAGGGATGTTTTATCTGTCACTAAGCAATGCTTACAGGTTCAAGGCCTTTTGTGCTCTTCACCTCACCAGTGAGGAGGCTGGGGGTGCATAGGAAGGTGGGAGGGGACAGAGCTGTGACAACTGCCCACAACTGACCACAGGCATTCCGAGTGTTTGGTGTTTGTCTTCACAAGTCACTGCCACATGCAGTGGAGCTCTGCTTTACTAGGGTTGACTCAACCTGCTTGCCAGTGGCAAGTGGTGAATGCATTCCTTGTTTTGCTTTCCTTACATGAGCAGTTTTTACTTTTCCTTTTAAACTGTGTTCCATCTCAACCCACAAAACTTCTCGCTTTTTCTATTCTCCTCCATTCCACGAGTGGCAGAGTGAATGGCTGGGTGGGGCTGAGTTGCTGACTGGGGTTAAAGCACATCCAAAACTGAACTACAGCAAAAGCTTGCAAATTAAAGACTAAAAAAAATGAAGGTATAAAAATGCATCTCAAAATCTACAGCTAATTGCCTCAATTTTTTTATTGCCTGTGAAAGTAAATTAAGTGTACATTTTCACAACTTTAAGAAAAGTTGAGTCCTATATTTTAAGTGAACCTTTCTGTTCTCAGTTAATTGGTCAATTATTTGTATGCAATCACAGGCTTTAGTATGCTACCAGTATTAAAAATGTACTTGCCTTTTAAAATTGTCAAAATGGAACTTTTATAAAGAGAACTGCTATAAAGATACATCAGGATGCTAATTTTTGTAACACTTGATAAGATCAAATTTTATGGTGTATTTGTGTTTCAAAAAATAGGCCTAAAGTACTCAAAGAAACTGGTAATTTATAGTCATCAGCCTAATCTGAACTATTTTCAGTCACCTCCACAGGACACTTAATTGCACCCATTGGCATTTAATGCCCAAGGTTATTTTTCACAGCATTTTATGATGGAAAGGGCAGCACTGTCTGTTTTAACATACAATTTGTTAATAATTAGATTTAGCAGTTCTTTCTTTTTAATGCTGCTGAAGCAACAAATGAATGTGCTACTCTATAAAACTACAACTTACTTGGAATAGCTGTGCACAAAGTGAGCAGAGAGAAAGACCAAAAACCTAGTTGAAAGCTGAGCAATCTAAAGGCTTCATTCCTGAGTGCAGCAGTGGCACTTTCACGAGCAACAGCCGAAGTGAGGACTTGTATTTCGCAGCACGGCCAGCACCTGAGAGGGCCAGGAGCCGCTCCTCCTGCTCAGCCATCTCTCGGCTGCCATCTCCTGGATAGGCGCCTTATGAAACAAACCCCTTCCTCCCCGCCCCGTTACTCCTTGACAATCCATCAGTTGCTGTTCTCATCGTACACATCACGCTGAGCTTCTCTTGAGGGCAGAGCACAATGCTCAAAATCAGGCAAGGAAACTCTTAAAATCAATCAGTGCTGGTATATGGAAGTTCGGCCAGACAAAGGGGTGGATCAGTGCATTCAAATTTTGCCAGCCAAGACTAAAGCATCTTTTCATAAGGACAAATTATCACTCTGAAGACATGCACTTCCCTTCCACAGACAGCCCTTATCTGGCAGATCTATACAGGAATCACATGGTGACCCTCTGAGTCTGCAGCATTTGTTTCTGGGAATAGCTGCCTCATGGAGAGGTGGGATTACCCTTCCCTATGGACAAGGAAGAGAAACAGCTGGACTCATTCCAGAGACAGACCTGCAGCTGTTTCTCATCCCACTCAATGGACCTCACCATGGACAGCAGGACATTGCAAATCTTTTCCTAACACACAGTGAGACACAGCTGGGATTGCCCTGGCCTGGCAATTTGGAAACATTTCTGGGTCACTTCACACTCAGTTTAAGCATTTCTCTTAGAACACAGTAATCTGCCTTCTTATGATAATACTGCCCTAGCAGAGAGGGTAGCCCTACAGAGGGAGAGAGAACACTGAGTTCAGAGCATGGGCTTAAATTTCAGTGAGATACATTTTACCTCTAATTAGCACACCATCCCTCCCAGAAACATTTCCATTTCGCTTTTACATGCCAGCTGAAGAACCCAAAGTTACACAAGACTGATATATCATTGTTCCAGAACAAAGCAGTACTTGCCTCATGCACAGCTAGGGACAAAAAATGACATTTCATTGTCTTTACCATGGCAGCATACACACATTGTAACACTCAGCTGTGACTCAGTACAACATCTCTTCCATTCATTGTTCCTGGTCACTGTGGGGAAGTACACAATTATTGTCTCTTCTATTCTGCACCCTCCTTCCCAGCTGCATTGCTGATGGGGAAGGTGCACTTAAGGTCACCCCGGAGAAATCTTCCAGGAGACTGCAGCACTAAAAAGGCACTAAAGAACGCTACTGCAACTCAGAAATTGCCCCTGATCATGGGGTCCAAAGTGGAATTTAACTGACTTAAATACCACTGTTTTTCTGTATCAGAGCACACCACTAGGATGGAAGCACTGCATAAGTTTTACTTCATTCATAAACTATCCCCTTAAAAACAAGCTAAACATTTATTTTTGTGAAATTAATACACTAATTAGTTGCATGATAACAGCAAACATGGACATGGAAAAATGAATACCAAATATGAAAAAGTTAATCTATTTCTTTCTCTTCTAAAGTGAAAAATATTTTTTTCACAGAGCAAGTGATCGTGCTCAGTGTTCTGTACAATTCCTGGCAAAAATGATATTCAAACAGCAGAGGGCTTCTCTCCAACCTTCAAAACAAAGGAAAACCCAGTCTTGTACTTGACCAGCTCTGCCTAGATAATAGGGCCCACATGGTTTGTCGAGTGTGTATCTGCAAGCACGCAAGGAGCAGCTGCTGCCCTGCAGAGGAAGGACTGACTTCCACTGAGGAAAGTGCATCAGTAAGTCAATAAAAACAGTTTAACTACGTTTCTGCCTGAAGCAGTATATTTCCTTACTTAATTCAGATACAGTAACTAAGTATTAAAGTGATTAAAATCCCCGTGGGAAAAAAATATCATCATTCCTCATTTTACTTTGTGCAGTTAGAAATTGCTACTAGAATTTTGCTGCAGACACAATAAAATGGAATATACAGCTGAGGCTTCACTAGTGTGTGATATGATTCTAGAATCAGACTGGTTTGGGTTGGAAGGGACCTTACAGATCACCTAGTAGCAAACGTCCTGCTGTAGGCTGGGACACCTTCCACTAGACCCAGTTGCTCAAAGCCCCACATCTAGTCTGGCCTTGAACACTTCAGGCATCCAGATCTTCTCTGGCCAACCTGTGCCAGTGCTTCACCACCCTCACAGTAAAGAATTTCTTCCTAGTATCTCTTCTAAACCTACCCTCACTTCAGCTTAAAGCCATTCCTCTTGTCTTATCACTACATGTTGTTGTGAAAATTCCACCTCCAAACTTCTTGTAAGCCCCCTTTAGGTACTGAAAGGTGATGTAATGTTTCCCTGGAGCCTTCTGCAAGCTGAACAACTCCAGCTCTCAACCTGTCTTCATAGGAAAGGTGTTCTAGTCCTCTGATGAACTTAGTGGCCCTCCACTGGACTCATTCCAACAAAACTACCTTTTTCGTGCACTGGGGGCTCCAGAACCAGATGCAGTGCTCCAGTGGGCTCTCCTGAGCTCACAGCAGAGGAGCAGAATCAAATCCTTTGACCTGCTGGCCCCACTGCTTTTGATGCAGCCCAGGACAGAGCCAGCTTTCTGGGCTGCAAGTGCACATTGCCAGCTCATATTCAGCTTTTTGTTCACAAACACCCTCAAGTGTTTGTCCTCAGGGCTAGTCTTGATCCATTCTCCCTCCAGCCTGTGTTTGGGATTGCCCTGACTCAGGAGTATGACTTTGCACCTGGATTATAACTATGTATGATAAAGGAACATATATATTAGCAACTGAGCAAATAATTTTGCGTTACCTTATTTCCCTTCATTTGTATCTACCTTGTCTACACTGATAATGATGACTAGATAAAACTGCCTCTCAGCATTAGCAGAAATGCCGTACACAATGGGACTTCAAACTCTTAGCATCTAAGTACTACCATGGCACAGTAGAATAGCAAATAAAATGACCTTGCTCAGACAGGTAACCCACTATCTCCAGTGAAACCCAGGTAAACTCCCTTTTCTTTGAAAAACTATTCCAGTTGATGACTTTTAATCCCTACACATATAAAGTCGAATTACTGAAACGAATTACACTACAGTTGTGTATTTGTAATAATAGCTGGTTTGGGTTCTTTTTCCCGCAGCACCATAAAACCACACAACCAAAAAGTCACCTTTGAAAGTTTGTCTAGACACCATTAAGTGGTTACAGGTTAGTGTACTATTGCCAAGGCAATTTTTTTTGTTGGTAGAGTATTAGCTTTAACTTTGATTCAATCTCTATCCATACTTTTTAATGCAATGGACTTGTAATATCAGCTGCACAGTAAAAATCCTTCTGTGAGACAGAGCTACTGGAATAAAAGCACTACTAAAAAGTTAATAACTCTGGGGTATAGTTTGTATTTTCTTCTCTGTCTGTACTAAAATAGTTAATCTACTTCAAGTAGCTTTCATATTACAAGAATGTCAAAACAGCATAAAGCTTGCAAACTAAGTCCGCAAGTCATATAAAATGAAACCTCTCTGAATATAAAGATTAAAAAAAAAAAAAAAAAGCAGTTGTCCTGTGGTGACCTCCCATACAGACAGAGAACACAGACTACACCAAGGTAAAAACATTAAAACAGTATTTATCACAGAGTAGTCTAAACACCTTGCAACAAAGAATTTTAGGGAAGATTATTTTAAAAACTGACTCCATGTAAGAATGCACAAAAGGCAATTCCAAAGGAGAGTCAAGAACACCTAAAGCCCCTAATTAATCTTCATTCATTTCACTCAGTCCAAACTAAATTATTGAGATTGAAACATCTATTAGAACTTTCAGAAACTGAGATTCTCTGTAAAAACTCAGAGAAAGAGTAACACTCATTAGGAAGAGTAACACTTTATTTTCAAAAGAGTACAATTATTTTTCTGAATTTGCCCAAAAGCATTCCTTGTTTTCTTTCCAAGAATATTCATCCTCATAAATCTCCTGTAATATAAACAAAGAATGGGAAATATTGTGAGTCTGCTACATACAGCTAAAAACCAGGCCAAATAACTCAATAGCCATCCCACTATTATTTACTGATCACAACAGGACTGCACAGTACTTGGCTGGCAAGCAGAAGAGAGGGCAGCACCCTCAGAACATATGGACTTGGATGAACCTCAGGCTGATTCCCACTGAATTTAAAAGGGCTGACCTATGCTGAAGTCAATTCAACAAAGAGATCTAGAAGAAATTATGTAATAGCTGTAGAGCACACAGCTTTCATGCTGCTACATTAACCTACTGTACCATCATTTTAGAGAATTTAGACATAACAAAATGTCAATATTAAAATAAAAATTACACTAATACACTAAATACACTACCGATAGATCTTAAGGACAGACTGGTTTACCAGCTGCAGTCCAGTCCCAAGCAGCAAATTCTGAGTCCCTGATTATTCATTCTGAGAGAATTTCCATCTCCTCAAAGAGGTATCAGAAAACTGGAGTAATGGGGAGAAAATCACTGCTAACCACATGCCAAGTTCTGCTAGGGAGAGAAGGCAGAGATAATGCTCATTAATTGCATGCAACACTGAGGCTCCACACACTGTTGGGTGCCTATACTATCTTTGGGACTTCTGCTCATCCCTTCACTGTCTGCTGTTGTTTAATGATTCGTGCTTTCTCGTGGCCACAGCAATGAGGGGAAAAAATGGCAAGAAATGCCCTTTTACTTGCAAACTGCAATGCTGTCCAAAGCAGAGTTGACTCAAATTCTTCCACAAGCTTGTGCAGAACTGAGTTTTGCTACTCAAAAGAGGACAGCTCAGGCCTCCTTCGCTTTCACCCTACAATGGCTTCAAAATAAAGAGAAGCTAGATGGTACAGGTAGAGGAGAACCTTCCAGATGCTCTACCTGCCACATATGGGCCTGGTTGCGCTAGAGGAAACTCACTGGTGCTACACACTGAAAACACATCAGGAGCAGCTGCTGCCTGTAATGCTGCTAAGGCAGTCCAGAAGTCTAAGACTAGTATAGGCCTAAATTTGATTTTGTCCCCAAACATACCTTTTTCCATATTGGGACAGATGCTTTTAAGGTATTGATGCAGTACGTTACAGCTTCAAGGGATTCTGTTCTGTGTGGAGAGGAGACTGCAATAATTACACTTGCTTCAGTTATTGGAACCACACTAGGGAGAAAAGAGGAACAACAGCAGCTTTAGCTAACACTTAACATCAAGAGCGCCCAAAAGTTGTAGCCATGTCACGTCAGTATTCTGGCCACATGCTCTCCTGACTCATTCATACTGAGCAAGTGTTAAACCACATCCAAAAGATTATATACTTTTTAAAAGAAAGAAAACCACAACCCAAATCAGTACCAGATGTTAGAATTCCACACTTTAGAATAAATAAACCCGCCAGACATAGGCTTTTTTCTCCCATTCTTTTTTTAAAAATTAAGCCTATGGAATTAAGAGGGGTAAATTGTTAACTTGTAACAATTCATAGGAAATTCACTGGAAGCTGGCTTAATAATGAACAATATCAAGTTAGAACAGCCAGTTCTTATCTAAAAACCTAAGAAATCATCTCAGTTTGCACAAGCATTTGTGAAAGAAGAAATTAGGTGCCTCACACTATGCAGATCTTGCAATGAAACCAAATTCTTGACAAATTCTGATTTAAGATTCTGAAGTTTGCTACTTGGTGTGTTGTGTTAAACTCAATAGAAGGACAAGGTTTTGTGTTTCTCCTTGCAACTGTAGCATTTCTAAAACCTGCCTCCCAATCATTCCTCTATAGTAAGACTCCTTCATGCAGTCCAGAGGAAGAAATCTCAGCCTAAATGCTGCCCTCATGACAGCCACCCTCTCTGTTGACTATAGACGAAATCAAGGGAAACTACCCCTCAGGCCTTGTATCTTACTTACTCTTTGCAATCACATCCCAAGTTCCTTTCTGCAAATCCTGCTAGTTTCAGCGAGAAATCTTCCCTGAACTGGGAAGGCCCAAGAGTATGTCAAACACTAGTGTTCCATGTGAATTGAAAGGAAAATGCTTATCCAAGAGTCAAGGAACAGGAAGTTCTCCCACAAGCATGGCTGGCAATTCCTATGCACCACAGCCTAAGCTTTCAGACTTTTTGCAGCATAAACAGACTTAAATCTGACAACAACAACAACAACAACAAAAAATCTTAAATCTGACAACAACATTCTGCAGCCCCACAACAGGAGAAAGAAGAAAAAATGACGTGCTGCCAACTTCACACCTTTTAAAAATAACAAAATAAACCAACAGCCTCCCCTTCCCTGGAGTGAAATATCTCCCCACTTTCAAAACATCACATCAGCATCAAAGATCCTGCCAGGGTAAGTGTGGACTCCAGCAAACCCTACCAATAAACACATTTTTGAAACTTAACTCCAGAGCAAGACCTTGATCCTGCAGGCAGCTTTGCTGCACTATGGTTTCTAAACACTCCTGCAGGCTCTGCAACTATGTAAGCGCAGTCATGCACCAGACAAGGATTGATACTCCAGCTGCAGAAGAATGGGGTCTGGACATACATACCCAACTCTGTGGTACATTGCAATATGTTTGACTGAAGGCCATTTCTGTCTAACATCTCTGCAGATTTTCTTTATTTCAGTCTCTGCCATTGAAGAATATGCTTCATATTCTAAGTGAATCACTTTTCTTCCTTCAAAATTATTTCTTGTAGTACCTAAACAAAAATTATTTATCAACTAACGGCACTAAGTAAATGAATACATATTTTATCTTTATAATACACATTATATATTATATTAATATGGAGAAAAAACCCAGGATCTCTTGCTATGGTCAAGGTCATCACTGTGCAAATATCAACAACCTCCTCTAATCACAGCTGAATAATGAGATTATTTGAACAAGGTAAATCTTTACTATAAAAGGAAGAATTCAGTTTACAGGTTACACACATCTGCAGCCCATAATGTCCAAGGCTGGGACATCATCTGTGGTAACTCCTAAGCTGCTATAATGGCATTTGGCCATGTAATTTTTAAATGCCCAGTATTTAGGAGCCTAGTAGCACTAAGGTTTAAGCACAAAGCAGTTTCATATGTGTGCCATGTACATTAAGCACAGGACAGAGCTACAAGCCTGACCTTCATCAGCCCATTGGAAAAATACTACTTCACTTTCAACTAAGCCCGAGTTACAGGACCTCACATACAGGTGTGGACATCTGGTCAGCACAGCCACAATATTCCATTTCCCACACTGAACAAGTTGTATTCCAAGGGACAGGAGAACAACTCCCAGGCAGTTCTCTACTCCAGAGCTGCTCTTCTGTTCAGTCCTACAATAGCCAGTCATAACAGTCAAAAAGCTTCACACCACTTTAGCCTACTGCAGCTATTTAAGAATTGGTCTTGCTCTAATAGTTCAGAACCTGTTTTCTAAACATCCTAGACCAGGAACTGATTTATTTGAGAACTACAAGTCTGGGATGTGGACAACCTAGGTTCCATTTATTAGACTATCAACATATCCAGAGACTTAACTCACCAATGAACAGAGACACTGCCCCACAGGATGGTGAAACAACCAGCTCTGACACTTCATCTACAGAGAGCTTTTCAGACTTGAGCTTGATAAAATCTTTTGGCACATCTTCACTTTCTTCCATATCGCACTAGAAAAATTGAAACTAAACAGACTCTGTTGTTGTCCCTGAAGATAGGAGCACCACCCAACTGTTTTTTTTCCAGTGCTGATGCCCCAATTTATGCACAACACAGTCACTATCTATTTGCTCAAGAGACCAGTCTACGTGTGAAATTCACTTCTCTGCAGCCTCACTGAAAGAACATTAACTGCAAGTAACAAGCAATGACTTGGTTTTATTGCATACATATTTCTTTCTGATAGGAAAGTCTGGTATAGTAGAATGCAACTATAATTAGCTGAGGCCCTGGTTTAACAGCACTGTGTAGTGCTGTTAAATCTGTGGTGATACTGTCAGTCTCTCCTACTCATCAAATCAAGCAGTTTAAAACAGAAATTCTTGATAAACATGGATTAGTGTTTTAATCCTAAAGTTGAGTTGAGAACGCTCTCCAGGGCATTCAGGACATCATACTATCAGTGTGTTACATGTGTTACAGACACACAGGAGATATATCTAACTTTTCTGAGTAGAAACCAGTCATCATATCACCTAAGAATGAGAAGTATTTTGGTCAGCAGCCGTGAAACAAGCTGCAGTGAACAGATGGACTAGCACTGAAAAGCAGGAAAAGAAATAAAGCTATTCTAAGGACACCTTTTTAACAGCAACAAACTAAGAAAATTTCTAAGCAGAAGTCAGTTATTTTCACTATATTATCTTTTCTGTTAATAAGTGGCAGGAAATTTTTCATTATCATCTTATTTACGCAAGCCAAGTTTCCACTGGTAGGAAGAAACAACCAGGAAAGAGTTACAAGACCTAAAACCCAGACTCAAAGCAATGCCTGGCCTCTCTGGCAAGTGTCTTCCATTTACTGCATGCATGTTAATCATTTACTGGTGCACTGGCTTATAGTTTCTGCTCTCTTATAGTTTCTGCTGGCTTATAGTTTCCGCACTCTTCAGATGGAAACACAAGTTGGGTTCTCTCAAAAGAGGACTGGGGTGGAGGGAGAGAATTGCAATCACATCTTCGGACCTAAACAAAAAAAGGTTCTTGTAACATCATACAGAATTAATGAGGTATTTTAGCATGGGATTACACTCCACAGGAAACTAGGCAATAAGTGATACCTACCAAACAGAACCTGAGCAGATTCAGCCTCCACTAATTGGTGGGATGATGGCAACCTCGTCTCCAGGCTGCAGGACCAGCACCTGGTCTCCAAGAAGCACGTACTCCTGCCGAACTGCAAATACCACTTGATCCCGGATGACAGCAAGCCTGAGGGGAATTGGCAAGAGCACAAATAGGTTTCCAAACAATGTTTGCATTTAACCATGAGATTTCATTAAACAGCAAACTGGTGCACATTCTAGGGCAGCTGAGGTAAAAACCACTGAGACTTACACAACTTTGCTTGCAAGACACTGTCAAAAATACAACACACACCTCCTAATCTTGGATTCTCCTGTAATGGCTAAGAAGAAAGAAGATCAGTATAATTTTCAGAAATCAGGAATTGGATTTGTCATAGGCCTATGTCAGAACAAACCAATGAATACCAGACCCAGAAGCAAACAACAAAAATGTTGGTAACTCAAGAGGCAGCAACCATTCAATTTGGGATTAGAAGGAAATTCTGTCTTGATGAATTCTGGCTGGACTGGAACAATTTTCTTACACACCAAAAAGCATTATGGTATGCTGTTCATGAGATCTCATGAAGATTCAGTCGTCAGAGAGTTGCTTCTCTTATTGTGTGGGCTCAGACTTTATGAAGCTTTCGGTCTTTTGTACTTACAGGTCTGAAATCTGCTATTGATAAGGACTGGCCACAGAACTGAGAGCAGATGTGATGTGTCTTCCAGCAGATCTTCTACATATTTTTTTATGTGATACATATTTTCATTTATTGCTGTGAGAGTCCATAGTATTGGATATCATGAGGCAGGGAATAACTTCCATGACTAAATGCAATTACATAGCAAGCATGAGGTCCATAGCACTAAGACAGCAGAAAAAATAATTGCGTGTTTCTTCAGATGGTGCAGGCATTATAGCAGTTCTTGTTTGAGACTACAAAATCTGGCACAGCCAGCTCAGTATTGACTAGAAACAAGTAAGCAGACCAAAAGAGCAAGAGTAAAAATCATCTTGCTTCCTACCAGCCAGATAGACAAAAGTAGTCAAGGCACAGGCTGAGCAAAACACAGTAGCACTGATTCAGAGAACAGACTTAAGGGAGGGATTGTATGAAAGCAAAGCAAGCCACTAAAGAACTGTGCACAACCATGAAACTGAAGTGCCCATTAGAAGGATGGACTCTGATTAAAGTCCCTTGCAAGCTAATTAGTTGGGGGAAAATGGGTGGAACAGAAAAGCACTGTCAAGTAGGCTCAAGCTGCAATTTGAATATCCATTAGCAATGTGAATAGAAGTCTGTGGTCAATGCCCTACAATTATATTGAGTTTTTCCAGAAAAGCTAGGAACAGAAGCATTTTTCAAGAAGGCCGCTGTGAAGTAACTGCAAATGCAAATTGTACTGCCCCAAGTCATCATTCATAAAAGGACAAAGTTGACAAATTACAGCAAAACAACCAACGGTGCTGCTGCTGCTTCTGTCATAGACGAAAAGGCTGCAAAGTAAAATATACACATTCCCTACTGCCTCTCGCACCAAACACACAATTTGAATTCTCTGTGAGGAAAAGGTTCCTGGTCCAGCGTTTTCTGAAGAGTTTCTCACGTGGTAACAGATACCAATGTTAAACAGTTCATTTTGTTCGTAGTGTTTGAAAGTATTTTACTAAAGAAAGGTTGTGCCTAAAGGAAGACTTGGACACCTAAGTCCAAAGTTATGGAAATTCCAGAGCACTGAGCACTAAATCCTGAGGACCATAACCTGTCTTACACCTTTCTTTTTTTTCACACCTTTCTATCCCTCCAAAATGGTGTTTCAGCTTTGTCCATCAGACTTGTTCTTGACAGGACTGACCACCTTCCCTTAGCTTTAAACAGAGGGGACATTTCTGTTGACACCCCCTTGAGCACCAATGCAGCACCAATGCCCTTACAGCACATACAGTGCTTTCTCAGGACCAGATTCCTTATGAAATGCAACCAGCAGTGGTGTGGGCCTTCAGAGCATTGAAGTGGCTGAACAGAAGGCTGTGTCAGGGCTGAGTGCCTGGAAGCCTGTAGGGACTTCAGTTCCCTTCCTGACCTGCCTTGCATAGTGTGCCATAGGCTCAGACCAATGGTTTACAGTACAGTTAATCATAGAATCAATTAAGTTTGAAAAGCACTCTGAGATCAAGTTCAGCCTATGACTGAACATCGCCATATCAACTAGACCATGGCACAAAGTCCAGTCTTTCCTTAAAAGCCTTCAAAGACAGTGACTCCACCACCTCCCTGGACAGCCCATTCCAATGTATAAGCATCCTTTCAATGAAGAACTTCTTCCTAATGTCTAACCTAAGCAACTGGAAACACCTGCATATTATAATTTATTTCTTATTTATTGTCCTGGCTGTGCTTGATCCCTCCTTGCAACATCTCATCTTCTCCACATAATAATAACCTGGTAGTTTTCAGGTTACCACATCACAGCCCTCCTGGACAATGGGCCACGTGTACCTCTCAGGCCCAGTTTTGGGAACATCTCCTGCACCTGGACTTTCCTTGCGTATACATAAAGCTATAACATTCCCAGCTGTGCAAAACACAAAACACTTGGTACAGGCTACCAAAAGAAGGTGACACCACTGGTAGTGTGCTGTCGAAGTACTGCTATGTGTTCCAGTTCAATGCTAAACACCGAATTTGTGTTTAAAAAAAAAAAAAATGCAACCACGTTTGTTTGTGCACCTCAAGCGTAACTCGCTGCATACCTGGGGTGGACCTTGACGATCTCCTCCCAGAGCTGCAGAGAGGTGATCTCCCGTGGCACCGAGAGGGTCTCGCAGCGCAGCCCCGCCAGCTCCGCGCTCCTGGCGAAATACAGCACCGAGACCTGCCCGGGGAACCAACAGCGCTCAGGCCCGCGCGGCCTGCCCAGGAAACCGCTTTCAAAGCACCAGCACACTGGCACCGGAAACAGAGCGCCAAGAAAAGCTTTCCCAGGCTTTTCTCGATGCCGATGGGCTCTGCTGCATGTCTCCTGCCCCGGTGTCAGGACAGCGGGGGAAAGGCGGAGAAGGCGAGGAGCGGTGAGTGACCGCGGGCCCGCCGCCCAGGCCGCTCCCGCCGCCCACCGGAGCCAGGGGCAGCCGGAGCCCCACCGCACCGCCGCCCTGCCCGGCACCGGCCGAGCCTCCGACCAGACCGGCCCCTAGGGTCGCCGGCAGGTCGCACTTACCTGGCAGCGCATGGAGCCGCCGTCCCGGGCGAGCTGCCCTCCGCCGCGGGCCCGCGGCAGCGCCTGCGCCCAGGCGAGCGGCGCCGGGCCCGGACCGCCCCCTGCGGCCTGCCCGGGAGCACCGCGGGCCGCTCCCGCTGTGGGGTCCGGCAGCGCCGGTTCCTTCCCACACGGGCAGTGCCGAAGGTGGGAGAAGCCGCGGCTTTGCCCCAGAACTCACGGTGCGGTGATGGGGATGGCACTTTACAAGCCTGGTTTGTGAATAGGGCCGGGTAGGGGGACTCGCAGCCCCGCGCACATCGGGATTGCAGATCTTCGCAAATATTACGCGTCCACAGCTTTGCACGTGTTAAACATCAGCTAAATTAACAGGACAGGTATAGTTAGCGTGTAAAAGCCATGGATCCGTTTCAATGCTGAGGCAGGACTTCAGGACTAGGGCGTGTTTCACCTCAGTTTCCTGCAGCAACTGAGCACGGAAGGACAGCAGGGTGGGAGAGCGCTGGCTCTCACCGGGGAGGGGAGAGTGACACGGGGTGTGTAGAAAGTGCTGCCGAGAGACTCACAGCAGTTGTTCCACACGGCATAACTGTGCGCCAAAACCATTCCTTGTGGGTGGCCAGGGTTATTTCTATAGTGTTTGGTGACACTGGTAACCTCACAACAGTAATGGAGGAGCTCTTCCAGACCGTCCAAACAAACCAGGGACAAGTCCACAGTCGTTACTGCTGTGCAGAAAATCACGCTGCCAAAGGTCAGTGTCCATAAACGAGACAGAGGAGTCCTGCAAAAATCAATTTTACGCAAAACTAGGAAGATCTTATAGAGGCGTACCTATCTAGGGTCTCTCCAGTTTTTAGCAGACCCAGCCTCCATTTATTCTAAACATCCTCCTACTTTTCCCATTGGGTGAGGCACTAGGAAGATGCAATTTTCAGATCCACATACTACATATCTGCCCTCCGACATGTGGGAGGGCATTCTTCCAGAATTCTTCCACAACCTGATTGGTTCCTTCAGGTTATCTAGTCGTTTGCAAAGACATGCACACTCATTTCTCCTATCATCAGTGTCATAGAGTTTATGGTGAGTCATTGTGATCTGGGCTGGTGGTCATTGAATTGTTTAGGTTGGAAAAGCCCTCTGAGATCATTGAGTCCAATTCTTACGCCAGCACCACTGTTTTCACCACTAGACCATATACCTGGGTGCCACATCCACAGATTTTCTGAGCCCTTCGTGATTCCTCCACTTTCCTAAGCAGCCTATTCCAATGCCTGATCAATGAAGTAATTGTTCCTCATATACAAATTGAACTTCCCCTGGTGCAGCTTGAGGCCATTTGCTCTTGTACTGTTGCTTGTTACTTGGGAGAAGACACTGACCCTCACCTGGCCACAGCCTCTTTTCAGGGAGTTGTAGACAGTGATAATGTGTCCCCTGAGCCTCCTTTTCTCTAGGATAAAAACCCCCAAGTCCCTCAGCTGCTCCTCACAGAACTTGTGCTCCACACCCATCACCAGCTGTGTTGCCGTCTCTGGACAAGAACATCAAGCTTTGCTGGATACAATACTGTCAGTAAAAAAAAAAAAAAAAAAAAAAAGCCCTCAAATGAAGAACTAATAAGATGGCTGAGAATGGAAGCAGACCTTTCTGCGTAATAATTCTTGCCTCTGCATTACAAACACAGTGAAAGTTAAAGTGATTACGTTTTCCAAAAAGTGTGTGATAGAAACACAATCATTTCTGGGGAGCAATTGTATTGCACCAGCTACCCAGTACATTGTGTCTTAATCCTCTGCTGTGAGGAACAAATAAGTTACTTTTTAAAACTGTGTTCTTTTGTGAATGATTAACTAGTGTTACAAATTGAACTCTCCTAAACACAGCATGTGTTAAGTGAATAAAAAATTGCTTTCTTTTTTCTCTGAGCTGAGTAATTTTGCATCTATGCATCTTAAATAGAATAAATCACTTTGACATGGTATGTATGACCAGCCAGTAGCTAGCAAGTGGCTGGCACATTTTTCCCATGCAAAAGGTGTACCATAGGTGTAAACTGAAGTGGGGGAGTACTGCCTCAGCTAGCGAAAATTAGCCTCTCAGCCCAGAAAACAGTGAGCTTTGAAGGATTTGTCTGTACATTTAGGGTTAAGTCAACTATGTAATAAGGAGAGAAGGGTAACTGGCAGTGAATTTCTGGATTTTCTTTCTTTGAGCTCCAAGAAATAACTTAGCTAAACCAATTCTTGAATATTTTTTCAAAGGATAGCTCAGTATTCAGCTCTGCATTGTATGATTTAGTTAAAGGCAGATTCTGTGCCTAGAAAGCAGAGGAATAGAGTAGGATCTATGACTCTTATGCTCTATTAACTATGTTCTCGAACAGCTAAGAAATAGCTAAAAGTTCTTAATCAAAACCAGGAATTAAAATGAGGTATTAGTGGCTAAAACAAAATTCTCCCTAAATACCTGTTTATTCTGGAAGTCTTATCTTCCAGGGACATCAGCCTCAGCAAGAGGTGGGACAACTATACTGCTAGGTTTGCAATAATGAGTTTTAGCAAGATTGATTTTGTTCAGTTGTTTGATTCTTTGACTTGTTTGGTGTTTGCGGGGGGAGAGTATGGGTACCTACATCAGATTAAATAAGAGATAATTTTATAGCTCTCAAGGAGATATGTTAGCTCTGTAGAGACCAGGATTCAAAACTATCCATTATATAGACCACCTCTATGTGATGTTTTCTTAAAATATTTCCTGTTCTATATCCTTCTTTCAGGCACCACTTTCTTCCTGAAACTTTTGGGTTGGAGTATGAGTATCTACAAGTATGGCATCTAGTTCCATTACTTATTGAGTCCATTATTTTCAATTGATTCTTGTCCTAAGCAATGGGGCCTTTGCTGTAGCAGAAAGGTATGTATGTATTCTCCTACACCAATACGTACAGTAGGCAAAATGTAGTATATGTACATTTTCAGAATGTATTTCTTTCAGATGTATTCAATTTCAAAAAAGTTATGCTATGAAGTCCTCCAAAACAGGTATTTCCTATTTCACTTTCCAACTTTTCTTTGTTTTAATAATGCGTAATACTGAAAAAGTGCAAATTTTCCTGTATGTGTGGGATTTCCTTCCACTACCCAAATAGCAGCTTAAAGAAGTTCAGTTCTAAGGAATCACAGATGGGGATGTTTTCCCTCCTAATTTCTTTCTTACTTACCATCAGCAAACTTTGACCATTTAGATGTAGCTGGAGTATGCTCAGACACTATGCTTATAGTCTAAAGCACAGATTCTGCATGTGATGTTGAACAGAGAGAACCACAGCAAAGTCATCAATACTTAAATGGATACAGTAGTCTGCCTGCTAGTCCTAAGTTAATTTTATAACAACCTATTACAAGAATTGCTATAAAATAGCACTGGGAAAACCAAAGAGCAATGAACTAGAGACATGTTACTAATGTTTAATTCTTTCTACCAATGATTTACCTAATGTCACTGCAGAAAAAAAAGTCTCTGTAGGACTGCACAAGATTGTGACCGTCTAATTTCTAGCAGATTTTCTGTTTCCTTTTGTTTTCATTTTAGACATTTTCTCAGAACTGTTTGATATAAATCATAAGTTGCTGCTCCGAAATTCAGATTTATACTTGGGAAATCTTCAGAGAATGTTTATTACTCCAGTTTTGTTGTGAAGAATTTAAGCCATGTTGATGGCAGACTTGAGTGCTCTTTTTTTTTTCTTTTCTTTTTTTTGAGATGTTGATGCATGAGACTTTATTTAGAAGAATTGAGAAAATTCCTTTACTTCAAACTTCCTGAAATAAATAGGGAAAATAAAAATTATCACTCATGACATGGAATAAACTCTTCATTACCTCGCACAACCTTCATATTCCTTGGGCAACCAGCCAAATCTGAAGTCATTTTAGCATTAAATTTTTGTGACTGAATTCATTTGGGGGAAAAAAAAAAAAAAAAAAAAAAAAAAAAAAAAAAAGGAAAAGTAGAGAAAAACAAACACCCTAGGTCTTCCTCCAAAGGAAAAAAAAAAAAAAAAAANAAAAAAAAAAAAAAAAAACAGAAACAACAACAAAAGCCATTTGGAAAAATCTACAAAGATCCAGAAGTCAGGCAGGTATAGAAGACATGTCACTGTGAATTCCAGTAATTCCACTGAATTCAGGTCTGAATTTGGCGTCATACATGTCAACACTGGCAATAACCTGGAAAACATCTTCCTATTTTGGAAGGAAGGAGAGCTGTTCATTGAATTTCCATAGTGGAACAATGGAGAAGAAAAACTTGAAAATATGCATCTTTCTGAGGCACTGTGACCTCTAGGATTCCTCTGTGTGTGAGGTATATGTGGCCGTTTGACCAATGTATTTAACATTCCCCTTGGCACTCTTTGAAATTGTCTATTACAAAACAGATGGTGCAGTAGTTACTTCTTGAAGGGCTAGTAGAGCATGACTACATCTGGAATTAATCTTTAGCTCCCTAAACCAATAGATCACCCAGTTTTAAGAGGGCCTTCTAATATAATTGCATTGCACAAGTACAGAGAAAGAATACACAGCTTTAAGGCAGAGCATAAGCAGTCCGGAACTATAATTCATAGGCACACAAGTCTTTCTCTTCAACTGT